TGCATTGGGAGACAAAAATTATTGGGTAAGGAGGTACTGAATAAAGTACCTCCTTACAGAACACTGGGATAGCATGCAACCTCAAGAAAATCCCAGGCCCCCTTTACTATGATAGACAATGAGCTGTCAATGAGAAGCAGTAGTCTTCTTGTTCTGCTGCGCCACACTGACTGGTAGGGCTGACAAAGTTAAAACTGGAGAGGGCTCATGGACCTTGAACAGTTGTGTAACTCTTGTTTCTTAGCTGCTTGCATGACAAGCAACAGCTAAAATTCCTTCTTACAACCATTAAGAAGGACTTTTACTGTAAAATCCTTTTAACTGGCTTTATCTGTGAGCCACCTTGGGTCCCTTTCTGGGAGAAAGGTGGCATAGAAATTAAACAAATAGAAATAAAAATGGGGCATTCAAAGTCCAGTCGCCTGTTCTGTTCTCTCCCAAGCTCACAAAAAAGGATCAAGGGGAGGAATAAATAAAATCACTACTAGCCCTGGTTCATTTTAGTAGCAGTTTTGGGTGAGCTTTTAGTTTAAACAGATATAATATTTCCTGCCACCCATTTCTAATGTGAATGTAATTTAATGAAATTATATTTTTCAGTTTATTAAAGATTTACCAAAAACATTCAACCCCTTCGCTAATATGTCTCTCTCCAAGTAAAATTGCAGCAGAACATGTGTTCTTTCAACCTGTGTGTATATGTCCTTATTCATGAACCATCCAAAAGGTTCAAGTCATTTGCTCCCCCGAAACAGCCTCTTTGAAATGTAATGTGCCCCCCCCCACATTGGACACAGAAAATAATTTCCATTCTATTCGTATTTGATCAAAATTCACATATGAACACAAAACAGAGACATACTCTTGCCCTGACCCTCCCATAAACTTTCCAGAGCAATTAAAAATCAAGTTATTTTTCAAAAAAAAGTTTCAACATTTTATTTATTTCTCTCAACTGTGCTGAAAGGTGAGGAGGGATCTCCCTCTTGCTATTAAAAGGTAGCCATCATATTTTTTTCTTCAGGCACCTGGGAAGTCATGAGGAAGTGCCAAAGATGCTCCAGGAGGAAAGTTTCGCCTGCCTTGATCACAAGGAAACTGTCCCAGAAAGCAACAGCACCAACAAAAGACCATATCAGGATAGTGTAGAAGATGCTTGCAGTGTCATAGATGCTCACTGCCCCATTACGTCAGGTATGCATCAGCTGCTGTAAAACTTCCTTTTGAAGGTCACCAGCTCCCATAGCTTCTGCAGCTCTCCCAAACTCAAAGGTCTGTAAACTCCACCTCCAATCGGAAGTTATTAAAGACGAGACCCTTCCAAGATCCTCCCACAACATAAAAGGTGACACTCTCGTCAGGTCTTGTTTTTCGGACAATGGCTAGGAAACCCAAAGGAGCAATATTGTGCTTGTCGACACAAAATTGAGCCCTGACTTTCTTCTTGGGAGGTACCACCACTTCCTGATGGAGAGGTTCAGAAATCATCCTCACTGCAGTGATTAACTGCTCATTGTTCGGAGTGTAGAAAATCATGGCTGTCGTATCTAGAACCTGGAAAGTGCATGAAGAATACAAACCAAGCCCCCACATACGGGTCCAGATAATGCGGTCAACGCTGAGAGTCTCCCATTTCATGGTAAAATTGTGGGTTACTGGAACTTCCTTCCAATTGTCATAAGTTTGCTCCGCCAAAATACAGGGAGTACAACTCAGGTCTGAAACTTCATCTGGCACCACCCCAAGTATTTTGATAGTAGGGGGAAGAACATCTCCAATCACAGGCCGGAAGTAACAGGTTTCATCAGGATAGAACCTGGCTGCTGTCAGTGTGTTATGCTTGTTGCGCCTTCTGGCCAAGAAAAGCCCATTATAGGCCTTGAAAGTTACCTTGTCATTTTTGTAAAAGACATCATACTCTTGATTCTCGTTGTCTTCAAAGCTGACAGGCTGGATAGGAAAGTATACTTCTGAAGGTACATCCATTGCAGCAAGGCACAGGCCCTTCCAGTTTCTCATCCCAATCTTTCCCGAGGGCAGAGAGATGATGTGAAATTTGCAAGCCTCAATCTTTTCAGTCATACCCTCAATGCACGATACTCTGTTATGATTCACACAGCCCCAGTACATGCCATTGTCCATCTGGAAAGCTACCCCTTCCTCTGCATCCAGGTAAGCTTCAAGCTGGCCCAGGCCCTTGCAGGGCCCTTTTCTGACAGCCTGAATGGAAACAAAAGGATAATAACCTGAGTCTCTTTTGCCGTTGCCCATGACCTATCTGTGCCTCCTCAGCCCCAAGATTGCTTTCCAGTTTTACATAGCACCTCTATCCTCCCCCCTCCCACACACACACATTACACTCACAGCAACTCTTATTGAATAAGATAGGCCAGGAGAGTGTGACTGCCACCAATTTACCCAGGGAGCTCTAAACCTCTTCCCAATCCTATTTCCAGCATCCATTACAACCTAATATCATTTCAGCAACATCCTATAATACAGTCAATTCCAACTCCTTCCCCTGAGATCATTCTTGAATGTCCTTACATGGTACACAGTCCTACAGCCAATAAGAGAGCACTTTGCCATTACCACCAGGTCTGTCAAGCACTCACTCGTTCTTATTTAATAATAAACCTTATCCAAGTTCAAGGTACTTAATTATACATGCTAGGAACCCTTTGGTCAGTTAAAGGCTTCTTGATAAAGCAAACTAACCTTTCTCTGGTCATAAATAAATAAATAAATGGTGAAAGCTCCCAGAACTGCCACTCTACCCCTGCATTGCACCCACTTTTCAAAACCAGAAGAGGGATTTCCTGGCACTTTAGACATTTTTGGTAGTCCATGAGGCCCCTTGATGGGTCTCAAAGGGATCAAATTAGTCTGCAGACCCACCACAGTGGGGAAGAGTTGAAGCCCTTCGTGCTGAACATCAGATCAACCTGATAAAGGCTGATGGTAACAAGAAGCTGAGTGAGTGGTTAGGTCTCTATAAGATCAATAGAGAAGGAAAACCCAGCAAAGTTGTGGGCTGCAGTTGTGTGATTGTTAAAAACTATGGCAAAGAAGCAAGGGAAGGATTAAGCACTCCTGCCCTGGTTCCAAAGTCCCTTATTTTAATACCTCCAAGAGCTGCTCTTCAAGCTATACAAGAAAAGCCATCAGGCAACACATTTACAAAAGGTCAAAATATCCTAAAGGCACCAGATCCCTGGATGATCTTGGAAGCTAAGCAGGGTCAGCTCTGGTTAGTACTTAGATGGGAAATTGCCTAATACCAAGTGCAGTGAGTAATACATTTTGATGGCAAAATGAGCTCTGGGTATTCCTTGCCTAAGAAAACCCTGACAAATTTGTAAGTCAACAGGTGACTTGAAGACACATAAACACGCACACACACTGTTTGGTCCCACCGTCTGAGTAATCTAACACTTCAGACCCAAAGAGCTTTGGACTTACCATTTTAAAAAGTTTCTATGGGCCTCAGCACCAGCCACCGTCCAACTAGAAAGGAAATAGAAGTGTCATGTTAGTCCACCACTTTGTCTCAATCCTTGAGGAGAAACAGGATGGGTTAGATCAGGGGTAGGCAACCTTTCCCCTTTAAGGGCCAAGGGACATCAGCTCCCAGAATCCCAGGAGCTATTAGCCAACATGGGACTATTGGCCAACATGGCTGAGGCTTCTGGGATCTGAAGTCCCTTGGCCCTTAAAGGGGAAAGGTTGCCTACCCCTGGGTTAGATAGTAGGATGTAGCCCTGTCCCAATGGTGCAGCCCAAGTAGCCAACAAGAAACACATTTTCTGGGACTCTGAAACCATCACCACTGAGGGAACCTGGATCAAGGACCATAGCAATGCCTCCAACTGTCCAATTTTGTCAGGGACAGTCCTAATTCACCCTTGTCATCCCACTTTTTCAGTTGCCTTTAAAATGTCATAGTTTCACTCCTCTCTTTCCACTTTTCCCCTTTGACCTCAGCCTATTTTAGTTGCTGCAAACTGAATACAAAATGCTTAAATAATTTGCACTCAGGGACAAAACAGACTACCCCGAAGGAGCAGCGTCACACTGCCCCTTTGACCGCCAGGTTGGAGCCATGGCAACCGCACACCACGCCCCCAATCTGTTTTTTTGTCACTGCAAAAAGTAGCAGCAAAAAGCCACTCCTTTTTGTGCCGGCAAAAAGTTGGCTTTTCCACTGCCACAGCGGCTTTTCAGTGCTCCAGCAGCATGTGGCGTCTAAATGCCAAGCCGTCAGAGCGCCAAAAAGCTGCCACTGTGTAAATGGTTGGACAGCTTCACAGCAGCCTCCCGGCAGCTTGGGGTATGGGTCGTCTAAATCACACATCCCAAAGCTGCAGGGAAGCCATCTCAAAGGGTCTGTCCGTTTTGCCCCTCGGTTAACTCAGCAGGGAGAAGAGGAGACACAATCTTCCCCTTCCCTGTGGTCTTTGACAAAAGCAAACTGTTACAATTGCTCCTAACTTGTATGTTGTTCCCCATTAATAACTTTTGTCATCTCCAACATTGCTTGGCCACACATCCCCCAGTTTCATCTGTGAAGCATTGAAGGATATGCATAGGTCTGTGACAGAACATGCATTTAGCAGCAAGAAGTCTGTCTCAAATTCAGTTCACAGTTGAAGGAATCAAGAGCTAGGGCCAGCAAAGGCTATTGGTATAGTCACCCTTTGCCTGGTAGCCCAGGAAGACTTAGGCAATGCCAATGCTTCACTTTGATGCCACTTCCTCTCCTTACTCACTATTTTGTTCATGGGTTGTTGTTTCCCTCCCTGAACTTTTTGTCTTTGCACTCAACTTCACTGCCTTGCTTTGAGCAACAGCAAGGATTGACAGCTGCTGCCTTACAGAAGCTATGGAAGCCAAGATTTTGTTGTTGTGTGCCTTCAAGTCATTTCTGACTTACGGCAACCCTATTTTGAGGGCTAAGAGTGTGTGTCTCACTCCCAAGGACACCCCAGGGGTTTCCATGGCTAAATGGGGAATTGAACCCTGATCATCAGAGTCATAGTCCAATACTCAAACCACTAAACTACACTACACCAAATAGTGTCTCTCAAATAAGTTATAGATTCAGGCTTTTGATTTTGGTCATTGAGTTCTTCTCCGACCCCCCAAATCACAACACCCCAAAAGTTCTTATCATCTGTTAATGGGGTTTATTTTCCACCTTTCTCCCCAAATGGGATTCAAAGCAGCCTCCAATAATTTTAAGAAGACAGAAGTAAAACATTAATCCTTTTCTTTGAGGTAGCTGCAGTTTTGAGTTAACTTGAGGTTGCTCAGACCAGTAAGACTGATAATAGATTCTGACAACAAGAAAGAGGAGTTGACTGTCCGAGAAAGGGATAAAGCAAAACACGCCATTCCAGAGACATTACACAAAGGATCACTGACCAAAGGAAAATAAATTATTTTATGGCTTGTAAACCCTCCATCACTTAATAAAAACACTCACCTCTAGCTTAGCACAGGGACTAGCCCAGTGGCTGTGCAGCCTTACAGAAGATGGGAAAAATAATAATGGCCAAACTAGTATCTCAGGACCTTTTATGCCTCTCACATGGAGCTCTTCTTGAGTCAATTAGAGGCAAAGAGGCACAGCTGATTCCAGCTGAAGGCAGCTCAGTGCTTCCAATGGGATGAGAATGAATGGCTAGGTCAGAGAGTTTGGTGTTACTGTGTGATCAATGAAATACAAACATGGGGTCTTCCTTTTCTTGAGATGGCTTGAGGTTTGATCTAACCCTCTTTGCTGTCTTTTTGCCAACAAGCAAAGATCTTTTTGTTTGAACAGAACTTCACCCTTAATTGACCAGGATAGAGTGGTGTACAATTAGGAGTACTATTTTTACTTTGTAGTATGTAGCTAGTGTGGTAGTTTGATCATTGGACTATGTCTCTGGAGAACTTGGTTCAAATCTTGGCTCTGCCATGAAACACACTGGGTGACTTTGGGTTAAGTCACACTCTCTCAGCTTCAGAGGATGGGAGTGGCAAACCCCCTCTAAAGAAACTTGCAAAGAAAAACCCATGATAGGTTCACCTCGGGGTTGCCATAAGTTGGAAATGACTTGAAGGCACACAACAACAACAGTATGTATTTAACGTCTTAAAAACAGTGGTTTAATTTGATGTATGGTTTAATGCTTTTAAAAACTTTTGTGCTCCATATTGTCTTAGGCATTCTGTTTTAATTTATATTGTAAGCTGCTTTGAACCCCATTGGGAGGAAAAGCGGGCTGTAGATCAAGTTAGTCAATTAATTAATTAAAGTCTTGCAATGGCACTCCTCAAGATGATTTCCTAGAACTGATACAAGAGAAGTCCAGGTAAATGCCTTTCTTACCCAGTGGCAGCCAACTAGCATCCATTTGTCTTGTGCATCCCACATTTTTAGTAGTAAGTCATTATGAATGTGGTGACAGCCCACATTCATTTTTCTCATATCACTGCCCATCTGAGTCTCTCAAGCAGTAGTTTCCAAACTTTGATCCTCCAAATGTTTTGGACTTCCCGACTACTGGCCAAGGGCTAGAGCTTCTGGGAGTTGACGTCCAAAACACCTGTAGGGCCAAAGTTTGGGAATCACTGCATCTAGAGCAGAGATTCATAGCCTCAGGCCCTCCAGATGTTTAGACTTCAGCTCACAGAATCCCTGGGGTCTCTTAGTAGTTGACATTGAAAACATCTAGAAGATCATTGCTCTAAAGCAGAGGTAGGAATTTTGCAGCCATTCAGATATTCCTCAACTGCAGCTCCCAACCTTCCTCACCATTGGTTTGCTGGCTAAGGATGATGGGAACTCCTGTTCAATAATAACACCTGGAAGGTCCATGATTCCCTCCCCTGTCCACATTGCTCTGGATCCCATTGGCTGCTGTGCAGCAGCCAGGATCTTGAATTATGGTCCTCCTGATTAACCTAGAAAATGGAGAGATTTTATACCACTCAATCAATTCTGCTGTATGCCTGGACCTAATCCTTCATTATTCTTGAAGTTGTCTCTTGGTTCCTTGTATTTGTGCAGACATTCCAGCTGAAAGAGAGCAAGGCAGATTGCCCCTCATTCTTGTACCAGAATAAGGGCACAAGGCTTAGCATCTTGGCCAGCAAGTGACAGAGAAAAGCCTGGCCTAAATAAAGATAAATGGCTTTGATATTCCAGTTTCCTTTTCCCATGACATTTTAACCACAGGTTAGGTGTTGGAAGTGAAAAAGTGTGTAACACCACTTTACAGCATGAATCAAAGATCACCCACAAAGGGGAAATGGTGGAAAGATGAGGCTGACCTGGATATTTCATATCTTTTGTATCTGTCTTTTCTCCTGTGTGATGTAAAGTGATATTCTCAGGGATGATTCCCACTTAACCTTCTCCACTGCTGGTCCTCTTCCAGCAATTCTTACCTTCTGGTCCAATGCAGTACCATGCCCTCCATCTGTCCCAATTTGGCAAGGACAGCCCTATCTCATACCTTGGCATACCACTTCTAAATAATTTTTAGAGATGAAAGCCAGGATATACAGGACCAAGCAACATCAGAATGTGGTCAATCTCCAAAATTTTAAAATGTCGCAGATTTGTTCTCTCCCACTTTTCCCCAGCTTACTTCTGCAGTGGTGAAAAATGAAAACTGAGCTCTAAGAACAAAAGTAGTTCACACTCAGAAGCTTATCGCACTCTTAAATAATACGAGTTACCTGATCCCGGTAAAATTTAAAGCGGGTGGCATCCTGATCTTATCTGAAGGATTTAGCTGCCAAAATCGCCATCTGGGTCCATCTTGAGTCCATCCCCACTCCCAGGGGTGCTCAGTGCACCTCTATTCGAAGCCAGGAGTTTTCTGGCTTAAGAAAGTGGCCACCGGAGTAGCCCTGGGAGCAGCAATGGACCCAGGATGGACCCGGGTAGTGATTTCAGCAGCTAAATCCTTCTGACAATATTAGGATGCTGCCTGCTTTAAATTTTAACCCAGATCAGGTAATTTGTATTATTTAAGAATGTGATAAGCCTCTCAGGGCCTTTGCAGACTGCCAGAAATAGTGCAAATTGAGTCCACTTTAACTGCCCTGGCTCAGTGCTAGGGAATCATGGAAATTGTATTTTTTTTCTGAGACATTGAGCCTTCTCTGTCAGAGAGCTCTGGTGTCACAATAAACTACGGTTCCCATGATTCCCTAGCACTGACTCAGGGCAGTTAAAGTGGACTCAATTTGCACTATTTCTGGCAGTCTGCAAAGGCCCTCAGTTAACTCAGTAACAGAAGGCAGAGAACAGGCAGAGTCTTGCCCTTCCCTGTTCAAGCAAAAGCAAACTGATGCAGCCTCTCCTAGCTCATGTGCTTCTTCCTCATTAAAAACTTTTGCCACCTTGACCACATTCTGATGTTGCTTGGTCCTGTATATCCTGGTTTTCATCTCTGAAGCTGGAGGATATGCAGTACCCTCTTCCTAATTTTCTTTCCTGTACTTGGATGAAGGTTCTGAAACAAACCTTGCCTGCTTTGTTTCTCCAAAACTAGTTTCTTTACTCCTTAACTGGACTTTACACATAATTCCTTCCTTCATTCTTTTAATTACCATCTGCAGTCCAAACCTCTGTTTAAATGCCTCGAAGTGAAGGAGAGTCCACCATTTTCTGAGGTAGTCTATTTCACATTTAGAATAATAGAATTTAGAGTTGGAATGGATAACAAGAGCCATCTAATCCAACCTGCTGCCATGCAGGAATGCACAAGTAAAGCACTCCTGAAAGATGCCTATCCAACTTCTATTAAAAGACCTCTAAAAATGGAAGCTCCACCACCTTCTGAGGCAGTCTATTCCACTGGTGAACAGCTCATGCAGTAAAGAAGTTCTTCTAATGTTTAGGCGGAATCTCTTTTCTTGTAATTTGTATCCATTGGTATGTGTTCTAATCTCTGAAGCAGTAGCAAATAAGCTTGCACCAATTCCTCCACATGACATCCCTTCAGATATTTAAAGATAACTATTGTTTTACCTCTCTGACTTCTCTTCTCTAAGCTAAACATACTCAGCTCCCTAAGTTGTTCCTCACAAGGCTTGATTTCCAGATCTTTGACTATCTTGGTTGCTTCTCCCTGAACAAGTTCCACCTTGTTGATATCCCTTTTGAACTGTGTTTTAGCCATGTACCGCCAACTTGGACTATCACACAGGCAAAAGAGATGGGATAATAGCCCTATGCTCCCATCAATATCATGCAATAACAGGATGATTTTCACACGATGTTGCTATTATTGTGCAATTATCCCATGAATAAAATGGCAAAATTGCGCCATTTTTTATTCATGGGGAAATCCAGTGAATAAAAAATGGCGTGATTTTTCCACTTTATTCATGGGACAATCGTGTGCTAATGGAAACGTTGTGTGAAAATTATCCCTTTTTTGCATGATAATGATAGGAGCATAGTGCTATTATCCCATCTCTTTTGCCCGTGTGATAAAGTGATAAAGATGGAGAGATCAGCTTGAGAGACTGCATGATTAACAAAAAAGACTTTCTAAAAGTTTTGTGGGGAGGGGAGGGCTTAAAAGGAAACCTAAATACCCTGGGAGAGCTATACATGCTCATTTGCTATGGAATCTTGACAATGGGTGGGGACCAAAAAATAAGAGGAGCAATGAATAATGTGGCTATCTTCCACACTGCAACATTTGGATGCAGCGTTGACGTATAATTTACACTCTATTCAGATCACAAGAATTTTTGCAAAGTTTGTATCCAAACAAATCAGATTCTTTTTTTCTTTTTTTTTCAAACAAATCAGATTCTAACCTTGCTTAGGACGTTATCACACGGGGGCAAATCTGCTGGTTAATCCACACAAAATCCAGACCAAAACTGGATTACTGCCCCGTGTTTTCACACGACGTCGCACAGAAACTGGACAAAAAGTGGACAGAAAGTGGACAGAAGCACGATATTTTGTAATCCACTTGTCTGGAGGAAATGCAAATACGTAATTACCGTAATTACGCATTTACCGTAATGTGATCGCCAAATGCCCGTTTAT